CCATAGAACCAAAAAGCTTCAAAAACTATTTTGTATTCCTCATGATTGATGCAAGGGAATTAGACAAGGTTTTACATTAAAACTTTTATTATAACAAAGTACTAAAATCAAGTGATTAAATATTACTTGGTAGACAACCATTGCATTAAACTACAGATTATTAACTCATCCTTAAATTCCAACATGATTGAAAATCCAGTACTGCATTGATACGCTACTTTTCACCCACTGCTGAATGCAAGTATGTTCTCCTTTAGGTAGGGAGACCAAAACTGCATACAATCCTTGCAGGTATGGTCTTACCAAGGCTCTGCATAGTTGCAATAATGTGTCTCTAATTTTGAACTCAAATCCTCTTGCAATAAAAGACAACATACTTTTTGTCTTCCTAATTGCTCACCCACATTTCCCAACATATCACCATACTCTGCTGTTCTGTTGTTCACAAAGTGTAGAACTTCACATTTAACCACACATGGAGTTTGAACACACACACACACACACACACACACACACACACACACACACACACTCCTTGCCTAGATTGCCCCAAATCCTCTCTGCATCTTCCTCAAAACCCAATTCCATCTAGTTGTGTCAGCAGCAAATATGAGAAAAAATCTTTTGGTTCCCTCATCCAAGCCATTTACGTATATCATAAATAGCCACAGCCAAAGCACAGATCCTTGCAGTACACCACTAGTCTCCACCTGTCACCCAGAAAAAGACCCATTTGTTCCCACTCTGTTTCCAATCTGTCAACTAATTTACAATCCATACCAGTATGTTACCACCAATCTAGTGTGCTTTGATTTTGCCCACTAGCCTCGTGTGGGATATTATCAAAAGCTTTCTTGAAATCCAAATTCACCACAACCATTCGTTCTCCTTTATCTACTAGATACTTACGTTCTCAAAAATTCCAGTATATTCAAGTATGATTTGCCTTTACCCATGCCCATGTTGTCTGATCCTGTTAATGCTTTCCAAATGTTCTGTTATTATGTCTTTAAATGGTAGTATTTTCCCCACGATTGATTTTAAACTAACTGGTCTGTAATTCTCTATTTTTTTTGCTTCCTTTTTAAAATAATGGGGTTACATTTGTTACCTTCCAGCCTATAGCAACTGCTCCATGGTTCTACAGAATTTTGGAAGATGACCACCAATGCCAGGGCCACTTCCTTGAGAACTCTAGAATGTACATTATCAGGCCCTGGTGGTTTCTCAGCCTTGAACCTTATTAATTTAAAAACAAAAAGGTGCTAGAGAAATTAACATTTACTTCCTTCAATTGCTTTCTCTCACTAAACCCTAGGTTCCCTTAGACTTTTGGGAAATTATTTGTCATCTTTTGTGAAGACAGAAACAAAATCTGTGTTTGTGTTTAATTGTTCTGCAATTTCTTTAATCCCCCTTATAATTTCCCCCATTTCTGACCGTAAGGGATCTACATTTGCTTCACAATCTTTTTCTTTTCACATATCACTGGAGGATCTCATGATTTCAAATAGCAGCAAAGCTCAACCATTGTCCTTGTCAACATTGATCACTCAATTAACACTAAAATAAATGATCTGGTTTCTCATTTATATCACTGCCGTTCATGGAACCTCACTATGTAAAAATTGGCTATCACATTCTCTACATTAAACATGGATATGGTCCATGTGCAACCAGATGGGATAATTTAGAATAACTTGATAGTGGCACAGTCATGATAGGCCAAAAAGCCTATTCCTGCACTGTACTATTCTATGTTTTAAGGCTCCACTTCCATAACTAATTTATTGGTTGTGAACTAAGTTGAGATTTCTTGAAGTAGTGAAAAAAAGCTACATAAATGCAAGCTTTTTGTTACTTTCTGCATACAGGCCAAAATTCCACAGTTCCTTTATGGACAAAAACAGCCGTTTTCCACCTCATCACATGAACGAGCAATGATAGCTGCATCAGAAGTAGGCAGTTGTCAATAATACACCAGATCTCCCTCATGCATATTTACTTCAGTGAAACTGAACTGTATTGAATGTAAACCAAAATTCAGATGCAAGATAAAAGTTCAAAAATCATTCACCTGGTGCTAAAAATATGCACATAATTTACTAATCTGTAGTCTCACATCCTTTGATTTTCACTAGTTATGTTTTGAACGTTTCCTCTCAACTGTTCAAATGCTGGGCATTTTGAAATTCTTGGGCATTTCATCCATGTTGTTGATGCGATCTGTTTTTGCTGCTGCTTGACAGAGAATTGCTGGAAACTAGTAATTTTGACATTAAGCTTTTTTTGCTCATCGCTGTGAAATCTTGGTTTTCTGCCACATCATTAGATATTTCATTTGAAAAAGTGAATATACCAACGAGGTGTTGCTCTGAAATGTTTGCAGGAGTTCATTTAAGTGCCCATTTTAATGCATTTTTCATTCACTTGTGGGACTTAGGTATCGTTGGCTGGCCAGCATTTATGGCCCGTCCCTAGCTGCCCTTTAGATCGTGATGATGAGCTGCTTTCTTAAACAGCTATAGTCACGAGTTGTATGTTGACCCACAATGCCCTTAGGGAAAGAACTCCAGGATTTTGACCTAGCAACAGTAAAGGAACAGCAATATACTTCCAAGTCAGGATAGTGAGTGGCTTGGAGGGGAACTTGCAGGTGATAGTGCTCCCACACAGCTACTGCACTTGTCCTTCTAGATGGAAATATTTGTGGGTTTGGAAGGTGCTGCCTGAGGATCTTGGGTGAGTTTCTGCAGTGCATCTTCTGGATAGTGCACACTGCTGCTGAGTGTTAGTGGTGGAAGGAGTGGATGCTTGTGGATGTGGTGTCAAGATTCTTGAGCGTTGTTGGATGTGCACCCATCCAGGCAAGTGGGAGTATTTCATCATACTCCTGACCTGTGCCTTGTAGATGGTGAATAGGCTTTGGTGAGTCAGGAGTGATTGTTACTCACTGCAGTATTCCCAACCTCTGACTTGCTCTTGCAGTCTCAACATTTATCTGGTGAGTCCAGTTGAGTTTCTGGCCAATGGTAATGCCAAGGATTTTGATAATAAAGGATTCAGCTATGGTAATACCATTGAATGTCAAGGAGCAGAGGTTAGATTGTCTCTTATTGGAGATGATCATTGCATATAAACATCCTTATGGTGACAAGAAAATCATTCTGACACATGCTTTTCAAAGTAAAGATGATGTTATTCCCTCTTTTCATGGGGCATTTGATCTTAGACAGTTCTTGAGGGTGGATTGCTTCCATTTTCAAGCTTTTCCACCAACACTGAAGTCCCGGGCTGCAGCACAGTTCTTTGAAGAATTAGCTAATGCTGTAATTTTTAGATTGAACCCATCCTCACACTTCATTTACTTTGTTGCAAAGCTCATTTCTCTCCATAATTGCAATGAATATAATGCTCTGTCTTAAACGTCCTTCACATTTTCACAACGCAGCCCAAACTGCCCACTTGATCCTTAGTTTTAAGCCAAGTAAAATATGCATTTATGGGGCGAAACATTGAAGCTGACAACTAATGCAAGTAAAGCACATTGTGATGGAAAAGGGAGATCAATTTGAATCCTAAGTACATAGAAAAACATGTAATTTGGGGCTGGAAAAATTAGGTCATTTTATGCAGCAGATTGATATTCATTCTGATCTGTGTTTTAGTGTCTAAAACAGAATTGCGACGTGCATTCACACCATTTTGACAACTGATTTACGAGAACAGATAGAAGCTCTAAATGGTGCGAGTTAGTGAGTAACATCATATTTCCTGGTTTTTGCATCATCTATGCTAACTCCTGAAAAATATATTGCCTTTTTTTTCTATAGCTTATCTTGCCCAGCCTTGACATTTTTTATTTAAGAAAATACAATAAGAAACAAAATATCAACATTAAAATCAAATTATTTCTCCCTATCTGGATAAAAATAATACAATAATTAACAAATCAGGCATATGAAATTTGGTGTGCAGCCAACTAAAAGTGTAACATTAGATAAAGGAAAACAGAGAAGAAAGGGAGATGGTCAGTTAACAAGTCTGCTGGAAATCTGCAGAAATATAATACTATGCTGCAAATCACAAAAGATTAGCATATCATTAAAAATTTGCTTACTAACATCCTAAAATGCTATTACAGGGAGAATTTATTTTGAACTAGATTCCAAAGTGCAATAAGAATACTAATACATGTTTATGAATGAACCATGATGTCATGCAACTGTAATCAAGTCTGGTGCTGATCTGTTTGGAAAAGTATTTCAGAGCAAAATATTGGAGCCAATTATCATTGTGAATATCTGCTCAGGTTATATAACAAGTGTCAAAAGAAAAAGTGGTCAGTTTATTCTGTACCATCACCTGTCCAGTCAATCTAATTCTGCCATCACCTAACAACCAAGGTTAAGGCAACCTCAAATTTGAAAAGACTGACATGTAAATTCTTGACGGATCAATTTACAGTCAGTGCTACAAACACCCAAGAACTGGAGAAAGATCAGTCACTAATTTGCAAGCAGTGGTACACAAAATAAATATCAAAGCAGTGTATTGATATTGTAGTCAAAAATATGCTTAACATAATGAGATACAAAACATCTTTTAAATGTGAACTAATCTTGTACAACTCAAACTAAAATGTCATTGTATTGAAACAATTAGAAACCTTGAATGTGGTAAAAATAGTTGCCATTTTCAGTGATATTTTCAAACATTGCTCAACGTTTTTAATTGTCTACCGGTAATACGAGGACATAAGTATATTTTTTTCCCAAGAGTAATACAATTTTCTTATCATGAAGAATAACTACTGCCTGCCTTCAGCAAAATTCTGCATGACATAACTGACTGATACTATGATAATATTCTTTCACAGTCAGTAAAATTGGCAAAATCTCAGCCCTTGAAAAACAGCCAGAAAAATACAGCAAGGGCAAGATGACTTTGCAGAAGCTGATCCTTTAATTCAAAAATAAACTGCTGCAATTAACACTCACCCGAACCTCACTCGTTCGTTGCTTGATGGCCTCCTCCTTTTCTTTGATTTCCACTTCCACACTGCTTTTCTCCCTGGAAGACCAGCAGACAAGGCAGGTATATTTCAGGACATCAGCGACAGCAGGAACAGTTAACCAGCTCCCAAACCCCGACTCGCCCTTCAAATGCATCTTCAGGCCTCGAACTAATACTCCAGAGTCCAGGTTTGAATCTCTGTATACCTTATTTTAAACTACGAACCAAAAGCCAAAATTTCAGTGAACAACGAAAATGTCTGCTCTCAGAGGTGGGTTTTCTGAAATCGAGAGGCGAAAATCAATGAGACGTTTTCTCACCACAAATGTCACTGTTGCTACAGCGCTGTCAGCTAATCGAAATTAGAGTCTGGAGGAAGAGGAGGAGCTAAAGATCATCCTATTATTAAATAACATGCTTATGCAGGTCCAAACCGCTACATTTTGAAGTACTCTTACTTATACGCTTTTGCTGATGCCGAACAACATATACATTGTACAATAAGGTGTTTTACAATAAACCTATGGTGAAAGCAGAAAACACTTCCTGAAGCTAACCAAATGAATAAATCGTACAATTTTTACTAAAATAACGATTCTGACCGCCCAGGAGCAGCACTCCACTGAAAGCCTTAAGTGCACAATATTGAAGTATATAACATACATGAATTATTGCCACTGCACCTGCTCCTTTTATCATAATGTGGAATTTTCACAAACGGGATGCTTGCACGATTTTATCAGATATATGTCCCCGGTGTAGAGACAGCTGACGATTTTTTAAATATCTTATTTCTATCTGGCAGTTTTCCATTTCCTACCACATATTACCCGCAACCCCGCCCTTGCCATCACGTTTATCTTGATAGTTTTCAGACTCACGTCGTTGGGCGGTGAGCGGTGCCGTGGAGATTTTAAACAATCCCTTACCACTCGCATCATCTTTGCCGTACATTCTGCTTCATCCTAACTTGGCACTCATCTGAACATGACAAATGTGGGGGTTCAGAATCAAATGCAAATCCACTGAGTGTCAAGAGTGAACCCTAGAACTGCAAACCTGCATGATATAATCAGCAAAGGCTGATCATCTCCTGGAGCTGCAAGTCTGCCCTCCCGCACCGCGTGTACGCAGACAAGGGCTTCAGACTCTACAGAATCAGTTCAGATACCAGGAAATAGCAGTCACGTGGAAATTTCCTCAACCCGAGAGACTATCCACATTGAGTTTAAACATTCATTTCATAAACTATTTGGGGGAAGGAGGGATAAGCAGCAGAAAATCCTGCGGGAGGATCCCTCTGATTTTCCCCGTGAGATGTCTGATTGGGCTTGCAGGCGAGTTTAAAGGGACAATTCCCTGGTGCGCATCTCCGTCTAATTACACTGCACAAACTGCTTGCTGAGGAAATTGAATATATTGTAGGATATCAAGTCTGTGCAGCAGTGAATGACGGTGATTTGCATTAGCCAGGTAGCACCAGAAAAGTGATGAAACAAATAGGTTAAATGAAGACAATGAGTCAACAAGAAAAAAAAGTTTTGTTATTTGGTTTTATTAAAATAAATTAGAGGCTTTAAGTATAGGAAATTAAATGGTAGTGCAAATATAAAGGTCTCAGTTTTTTAGCCAACGTTAGATCAAAGCAAGAGCATTCATTCACAAATTTTTAGAGGATCACAAACAAAATATACTTGTGGTTCTCTCTGGTTTACAGGTTGCCACAGGACTTCTGAAGCTACTTATCTTTAGGTTTTAAGCTCTAATGTGTGCTCAACTGCTCTTAAGAATTTCTTCACGTCATAAACATGATTTGAAGGCCTGAACCTCAACTGATGTTCCATGCATTATTAACTACTGTAATTAAACCTCTTCCTGGAGGACAAATCCATCAATTGTCAAATCAAAATGATGAGGGTATTTATTATGCATATGCATTACAGTTAAAATACAATTCATTAGTATTTCAATGAAGCAAACAGGACTGACAGAATTGACTTCAGATAAACTTCAGTTAAAAACAGTGGATTTTAATTTATTTTTTAAAAAGATGATTATTAATGTCAGCTTAAGTATTTTAGGTAAATCATACATCACAATTGTTAGTAGGAAAAATATTTAAACTTACAGGAATCAATACAACAACTGTATTTATATAGCACAAGTAAACTTAATAAAATATCCCAAGTCACTTCACAGGAACATGATAAAACTAAGAATACCACTAAAGCAAGTTAACACATATTAGGTCAGATGAAAAAATAAGCTTGGTTAAAGAAGCAGGTTTTAAGGAGTGTCTGAAAGGCAGAAAAGCAGAGAAACATAAGGAGAAAATTTAGTGGTTAAGGCAACTAAAGGGACAGCCAATGATAGAGAAATTACAACTGGGAATTGACAGGAAAAGCACGGACATCTCAGGGTTATGAAGTTGGAGGAGATTACAAAGATAAGGAGGAGAAAGGTCAGAGGAGAAATTGAAAGAAAGGATGAGCAGTCAATAAAAAAGATTTCCGTTCTTTGAAGGGCATGGACAGAGTGGACAGTCAGAAGCTTTGTGGTTGGTTGGCTTGCCGAGCTGGTTTGTTGACAAGCCAGCCAACCAACCACAACACCCACAAACCGAGCTACAAATCTACTCCAAAACCTTGGAGTCAGAAGCTTTTTCCCAGGGTGGAAGAGTCAGTTACTAGGGGCCATAGGTTAAAGGTGCGAGGGGCAAGGTTTAGAGGTGATGTACGACGCAAGTTTTTTTACACAGAGAATGGTTGGTGCCTGGAATTCGCTGCCGGGGGAGGTAGTGGAAGCAGATACAATCGTGACTTTTAAAGGGCATTTTGACAAATACATGAATAGGATGGGAATAGAGGGATGCAGCCCCCAGAAGGGTAGGGGGTTTTATTGTGACCAGCAGCATGTCGGTGCAGGCTTGGAGGGCCTTAGGGCCTGTTCCTGTTCTGTAATTTTCTTTGTTCTTGGTAATTACTCTTGCTTCTTCAGCTCAGGGCTAAGGGTCTTTATTAACTATTCCATTCTGAAGCCCCGAAGGAATTTACACCATTAACTACGTGTCATTTCTCCTTTCATAAAAGGGCACTGCAGCTAATCTTCAATATTTTACAGTGATTATATAATTAATGGCGAACATTTTCCAGAGACACAATTACATTTTTAAAATAATTTCTCACCAGGTCTTTAATAAGCATCAAGGGAATAAGTTTCCTGGAAGATTCATAATTTCTACTACAGAAGAAGTAGGGAAAATTTTTTTGATCTAAATCAAACTAATATTAGAGAAGCTTTAGAAAAAATATTACACTACAGACCTTGCATTACTCTGCTTGCATGAGGTAAATAATTAAGCTAAATTTAGAAATGTTTGTGCAGCTGAAACATACCATACACATCTAGCAACATTTGCTTTGATTTTAAAAATAGTATTTTCCTATTCATTCCTGAAGGCACTTTTGGTGGTCTAATTCCCTCTGAAGCATTATCCTGGAAGTAATTTTTACTGTGTAAACCTCAACAGTATTACCAGCATTTCTAATTACAGATGAATTCATAGTCAAGCCCAACTATGTCCTCACCTGGCACCGCATGCACACATACTCTTCAACAGGGAGCAAAGCATGACGATCAAAAACAGCAAACAGAATTGATTTTTCACTCCCCATTGATAAGAGCTGAAATTCCATTATCCTTGCAGCTATTTCAGTGGAGATTCGGGAACGAATCCAGGCTTGGAGGGTAATGTTCAACTGAGAGAAAATTTATAAAGTTAAAGAGAAACTCAGAAGTGTAGCAATTTGGGGAGAAAATCAGTGCGTATGGGAACAAGGAACAACAATAATAGTGCAGTGAGTAAGGTTGAATTGGAGAAAAATAATAGGTTGACATGACAGTATTTCAAGCTGGATAAACTAATGGCAAAAGTGAAGATAAATAGGCTTGATCTAAGACCCAGTACAGAGATCTGGTTGTATCTGGTTGTATGGTGTTCACGGTTGATTAAAAAAAAAGTTACTTCAAAAAGATGGACAAAATGGAAAAGAAGTAGTAGCTCAGATAATAAAGAACGTCAGAATATTGCTTCCTCATTGTGGTCTTTAACTCAACAACAGGAAGCAAAATGAGTATGGGTGCAGATAAGATATAACGAGTGATAGAATACAATAGCAGAAATAGTTTATAGCCTGTCTAATAACAGCTACACTGGAGGACAATGTATTTATGAAGAAATATGAGCAGCTTATAACAAAGGCAACGCAATTGAATACCTTAATTATGAAATAGATTGAGAAAAGTAATTTGAAGGGCAGGTTCCTGGAACATATTCAAGACAGTTTTCTAGAACAATATGTTGGGAAACCAAACAGGTAAGAAACTATTTCAGATCTTGTTTTGTGTAATGAGACAGAGCTAATTAGTAATGCCATAATAATGTATCCTGTGGAAAACTGTGATCTTAATGTGACGACCCACATCAAATTAGAGAATGACATATTTGAGACCATTGCTTCATCTCATTTTAGAAACAATGTAACTGCACTTGAGAAAGTACAAAGGAGATTTACAAGAATATTGTCAGGAATGGAAAACTGCAGCTATCAGCAAAGATTGGATATGCTGTAGTTTTTATCCTTAGAACAGAGGAGACTGAGGGGAGATTTGATTCAGGCACACAAGGCAACAAGGTGCCTGGACAGAGTGGATGCAAATCATCTATTTCTCTTAGCAGAGGGATGTGACTTAGGGGGCATAGATTTAAAGCAATTGGTACAAGCATTTTATGATAAATCAGCAATATATTTTCTTCACCCAGAAAATGGTAGGGATCTGGAACTGACTGCCTGAAAGGGTAGATATGAACCTGAGTTAGGGGCAGAAGTAAGCAATTTGGTTGCACGAGTTCCACTGGGTAGCACAGCTGCCTCACGGCTCCAAGGACCTGGGTTCAATTCCACTGACTGTGTGGAGTTTGCACATTCTCCCCACGTCTGCATGGGTTTCCTCTGGGTGCTCCAGTTTCATCCCACAGACAAAAGGCAAAAGGTGTG